TTAGTGCCTATGACTATTGCTAACTCTGGCTACTTCTCTGCACACTTGACTTTCTCTCTTACTGAGAACACATGTCTCTTTCACTCCCTTTTCTTAATATCTCTTCTGTGTCTCCCCCTCCTCATATAATTCAAAATGACTGGGGTCAGATACCAAAGATTGGGATAATTAGACACTGGGTGGGTCAGGAGTTAGAGGGAGTATTTGGTGAGAATGGCTAATAGAAGACAGATTGAGAGTTATGCCAGGCATTATTAATTGATAGCACAGATAGCTGTTCTACAGTTTGTTGTCCTTGTCTTATTTGATATTTTCACCAAAGTATGGATAAGGGAAAATAAGGGAGAATGTTTTATAGTAATAAAAAAATCCCATCCAAATAGAAAATGCAACATATATAAATCTTTATGTACCAAATGACATAGAAGCAACATGCATAGGCAGAAACTTTTAGAAAAACAAAGAAAATCTGATGAAAACAAGACTTTGGAAGACTTTAACAAACATCTCAGATTTGACACATTAGCCAGGCAAAACACTCAGGATATAAAGAATTTAAAACCATCAAAACAGTAAGCTTAAGAAATGAATATAGAATTGCATGCCTTACAAATAGAATTTGTATTTTTCTGACAGAATTTATTAAAAAATTGATTAATTGTTTCTAGCTACAGAAGAAAAGTCAATAGATTTCAAAGTGTAAATACCTTACCAGAATATTCTCTGACTATGAAACTAGAAACCAATAGTTTGTACATTTAAAAAAACACTCTTCTAAATAATTCTTGAATAAATTAAATTATAAAAACCATACATTACTTAGTGTACATTCTGAGTGTAAGCCAAATTTGCAATATCAAAACTGGGGAGGCCATTGAGCACACTGGATGGCCAGTTGGGATCCACTTATATAATGACAAGCTGTAAAAATGGACAGACACTAGTGAACATGAAATCTAGCAGAAATGCATTTGAGACCATCCTCCATGTCCAGAAAGCTAACAGCAGGAGCACACGTGGAGGAGATATGATGCAGCATCACCATCTGTAAAACAAAAACAGTCACATGGGTGTAAGATTTAGAGGTTTTAGTTGACAAATTGGTTAAGCATTCATCAGCTTTGACATGCTACCAAGAAAAGTCAATTTGATTTTAGGCTGCATGGGTAGATAATGTGCCATCTAGAACAAGAGAGACAATTGCCAGCTCTAATCAGACTCATGCACTGGGCATTCAGTGTGGGTTCCATGGCTCAGCAAAGATGATTAGAGCCCATTCAGAGAAGAGCGAAGGCAATGATATAGAGACTTAAAAAAAAAAAAAAGAATCTGAGACACAGTTGGAGGAAGTAGTAAGTTTAGCCTGAACCCAAGGCAGCTCCTTGAAGTCTTGATGCTATTCTCAAACATATGAAGCACTGTTATGCAGAAGAGGGGTAAGGTCATGAGAAGGCAGATTTCTATGATCCAGAATATTCCAAAGATGAAAGGAGTGCATGAAGAGATAGCAAGTTCCATATTGCTGGAGGTGTTCTTACCAAATTGGGTGAACACTTGATTGTGGCAAGGATTTTAACACTGGAAAAGAGAGGTGGTTGGACCTTGCAAAACTCCCAACCCTGAAATTATTCAATTCCCCTAGAATATGGTATTCCCTCAATATGGCCCCTGAACTTCTGAGTCTGGTACCCCAAATTGCTAATTAAGCAGAGTCCAACATTAACATTTTTCACACATGAAGGTTTGAGAGTACATGACTGATAGAGATAGTCTGAACCCAAGTGAAACCTGAAGAATTTGGGAATACTGAAAATTAAACATCTGGTAATCAAATGAAGACACTCAACAGGAGTTCAAACAAGGGTTTGGCGAGGGTCAGAAGGATGGGAGCAATCCTCCTGGAGAAGACTACAAAGTCTGTGCTGGTATGCATTAGGCAACATGAGTGGTTTTAGAAATTGTGGTACAGAGATTATCTATGATATATATAAATAAGCAAACATGATGGTTCTCTCTCCTTTGATGGCAGGATGTGGCGTGCCTGGTTGGAACACTGCATGCCAGGTGTGCAGATCCTTTCAGAGTGTCTCTAACCACTGCTGCTTTCACAGCCCCTGCAGAGCTCCCTGCTGACACAGGCTTGCGCTCTGCAGTTCCAGCTCACACGCAACTTGCGTCTCTAATGCATTGCTCTGACAAGAGCTTTTATTGACCGAGCTTTTTCTTCATTTTCTGATTGCCCCTGAGCCTTTCCAAACTCAGCAACCCTGTTATTCTTGAAACTAAGACCTTCTTCCTCTCAGAGAGCACTGTTCCCTTGCCCTCCTCAGCTCATGATAATAATCACAAGAATAAATAACCCTGTAAGTTTATTTAGGACGCGGTGTTTCTGACCACTGCACATCCACTTTACTGTTTATCCTGACAATGTCAGGAGGAATGCAGGGCAGGTGCTACCTTCGATGGCAAGAGGTCAGAGCACTAGCCCAAGGTCACGTGGAGGAAATGAGCCAGTTCTAAAATCAGAGATTAGGATCCAGGACTTGTGACTGACCCCTGAGTTGGCTCAGTGACGCAATTGGTGGGAGTAGCACCTTCGTGTTCCATGTTCCTGGGACTGACATGTTCTAACTCAGGCTTGTCATGATGTCATTTAAGCCTGCAGAGTTTCCCAGGAGACTGGTATTTCCAAAGGCTTGGTTCCACATTTGAGTCTGGCTGAGCCCAGGATCACCAATGCCCACATAGAATCCCAGGGTTCCTTGGCTGTAGAGAGGCTTTTTGAGCAAGGGCTGGCAGTAGACACCATTTAGAGACTCTATCTGCTTTCCCTCCATTTGTTTATAATGGTTTGTAAAATAATTTAATTCATGACAAGCAAACTGGCATGTGAACGTGAAGATCAGAGAGAGTGTCAATTTAATCAAGTGAACCTTCAAGCAAAATTAATAGAAGACTTTTAATGATATCATAGAATTAATGTCCTGCATGGTTATTAGGCATAAATGGTAAACAGTTTACATGAATGTCTGTAATTAGCATTGCTTTAGCAGAGCCAAATCAATTTTTAAGTTGCTCTCATCTCACCTTATTAGTTCTCCAATATTTATATAGTTGAAATCACTAGCTAAAATTTTCCTTAATACCCTTTGCTACCTAGCATCTGAATTTCTTCAAACATGGAAGATAGTTCCAGGGACCAAAAGAAAACCATCTTGCTTTTCAAAAGTTTCTTCCAACTGTATCTGTTTCTGACTCTAAAATGTGTATATTCAATAGATTGGCTTTTTCTTCTTATTTTCCCTCCAGGATTTCCTTTTTAATTGTCATGGGTTAGCTGAAGCAAATATAACAATCTTGAACACCTGTCATTTATCAAGAAGAGGTGTCTTACTCTTAGCCAAAAGATACTTGTTACATCAAGGATAACAAACACATTCATAAAGACAGGGTCTCAGTTCATGGAGGTCTTGGAGGACGTCCATCTTTGCTGAGCATACCCAAAGGCCATTGAGGTACAACTTCTGAATGTTAAGTCTAGTTTTGAGGGTACAGCCAAGAATGGCTACTCAGAGGTTGGTGCTCTATTTTGAATGAACTTGACTATAGAGACTCACACCAAGTTTTCTGAAGAGCTGGAAGAATGCCAGTCAAAATGGCACCATGTTCATTTCTGAGTCTGAGCATGTGGTGCAAATGTACCCCCTACTGGCAATAAGAGAAGAAGGGGCAGAATTGGTCTGTGATAAAGCCTAGAACACAGGGAAGGTCTAGCTCTGGATTAAAGTCCCAGGGTGGACAGCCATCATTTTTTGTTCAGAAATCTTCCCAGTACTTCTTAGAACTGGGAACTAGGGCCATTTTCTCAATTATTGAAATCTCTTGGATTGGGGCAGAGTGGGCTTGCCATCATTAGCATTTATAATGGCAGATGACAAACTTTGGGATGTGTCTGTGCATGTGTGTTACACATTCAAAATAGGCCTTAAGAGCTATGACGTCAGCCTGTTCATGGAACCAGGAGTTCTCTTGATTGGAGGGGAGAGGTCAGGGAGTAGAGGCCCAAGAGAGGTGTATTCACTTCCTTGTCAGAGAAAAGGTATAAAAATGTAAGTACTTGGATTTTTTGATGCTTCTTATTATAACTTCTAGTTTCAGGCCAAATGGTGATGTTGGGTCCTTCCTGTTTTAATTTGTAAGAGCATTAGAAGGAGAGCCTATTGTTAGGAGAGAAAGGAGAACCAAAAAAAATCATTCCTGAGGAAGACCTGCAAACCTCATCCCCACAGCTTTGTCTTTTTCTGTAGAAGCAGAGTTCCCAGGCGCTCACTTTCTGTCCTGGGGGCTCTTCAGAGCAGGGAGAGGATGGCAAGAGTGAAAGTAGGCACGAGGACATGGCATTATCATCACCAGCCTTTAATCCATTATCATACAAGAATTATGGATCTCACAAACTTACACACACAATTTCAGGGAGAGTCTTCTGACAGAGCAGTGTCAGATAGTGCTGATGTAGACAGGTAGAGAAATCATCCAAACTGGAAATGAGGTAAACCAAGACACTGAACAGGAGAGAAGCCCACACAATGTAACTTCATACTGTCCCCAAGTACAGGGATCAGCAGAAGGAGCAATGGTGAGTTTGGCAAAGGCTGGGGCCTTGAAATAAAGCAGAATACAGGGAAGATTGGTCCAAGGAAGCTTCACTGAGAAGCATCTGGATCAGCTGAGAGTGGTGCCTGGGAGATGCAAGGAGGAGAGGTCCCATGACATCTACCAGCAGTCAGAGTAGGTCCAGCTGGGCCTTGGTGGTCTGCATACCTTTTAGGTCAGCTGATCCCAAGGGACTGATCCTGCAGCCATGGCTGACCTGATCTGTCAGTCACCCCCACCACCCACAGCTCCAGAAGGAGCTAGTGTCTGAGCTCTTGGAATTATCACTGTGGGATAGGGGATCTCGGAGCAGACCCCATCATACTCTCCTTTTGCTACCTCTGTAGGAAAATCGCTGCTTATGATGAAGAGATCCAGCATCTCTATGAGGAGATGGAACAACAAATCAAAAGCGAGAGGGAGCAGTTTCTCCTGAAAGTGAGTGTCCACTCCCTGGGCTTAGCCAAGTTGACATATTCACCACCCCTGAATGTAAGATTGCAATACTCCTGTTGGTAATGCTACTTTCTCTGTTTTATTTTTCCCCGAGGCATTTGTCACCTTTGAACATGACATATAATGTAGTTGTTTATTTTTATTGATTGTTGTCTATCTCCCTCACATGTAAACTCCACAAAGCAGGAATCTTTTATCTTTTACTTACTAATGTCTCCTCATTTCTTAGGTGATGCTTAGAACATAGTAGGTACTCAACAAATATTTGTTGAGTCAATGAATGAATGGGCTGGTGGATGGATGGATGGATGGGTGAAGGGATGGATGACAGGGCAAACTTTAGCAGCTGAAGTAGCCTGGAGATTGGGTTTGACATTGACTGGCCCCAAACCTGTGTAGCAGACTCACTCAAATACACCAGTCCATTTTACTCCATGCGCCAACAGGACAACCTTTGGAAATTAGACTGCTCATTCTTTTCCCTTAGACACCTAGAAAATGTAATAGTCAAGGAAAAAACCTCAGATACCATGGGCGAAAATGTGAAGCTCACATCCCTTGTTCCTAGTCTGACACATACTTGGATCTTACCAAGTCCTGCTGTTTATCTTGGGAGGTCAAGACTGGTGAAGCTTTCCCTTACCAAGCTCAGCAAGGTCTTTTTGGAATATGTTCATTAAAAAAAAAGAAAAGAAAAGCTGAGGGCTGGGGATGCAGCTCAGTGCTAGAGTGCTTGCCTAGCATGCACAAGGCCCTGGGTTTGATCCACCGCACTGAAAAAGAAAAGAAAAAGAAAAGCTGTGGAATAACAGCCTCCACTGCTTCTCAGCACTGAGCCTGGGCTGTTGTCCCAACCCCTTCCCTTGGACCAATTTCTAATTTTATGCTGCTTCAAATTATCCACACCATTACTCCACTTATTATCACAGATGTCATTCAAACTGAGAGAAATTGGAATGCTTTTCAGAAAAATCCAGCCATGTTCTCCAACCGTAGCCCCTGGAGGCTTGTCAATGTGTTGGACCACCCTGATTTTCTTTTAGAGCTTGGAAACCTCTGCCTGTCCCCGGTTGTTGAATGTGCGTAAGCACTGCTCACACCCTTTCATCAGCAAATCTAAAATAGTCTCTGCAACAGCAACTTCCCCTAGCCCCTGTGATAGAAGAGCCAACTCTTCATCCCAAATGACATGAGATATAGAGGGGACAAGCTCTGCAGGCATTTTGCCCCCTCTACCTGGTCCATGCCTACAGGCTGAACGCATATTTCAGAAGCTAATGGTGGGCCTTGGCGAGGAGGTTGGGAGTGGACAGAGGTCAGAGGAAAAATTCAGGAACAAATTAGGACCATTTAGGATCTGGCTTATGATACCATGCCCCTTAGCTGTCCCCTTCTCTCTTCTTGAATCCGAATACCCAGAAACCTCAATTCCCATGAACATGGGAACTCTTATGATGTCTTTGGTAGTGCTATTAAGCATTTAGATACATGAACTTCTGCCAGGCCATAGAGTGAGGATAGTGATATCACAGTTTATGACATTGTGGACAACCCTTAACCAGGTTTGGATCCTGGCTCTACACTTTCCATTGGGTTTAGTCAGAATGAAAGTTAGTTTTTGATCACTTGTACCTCCAACTCCAGACTGAGAGTAGCTTGAGCATTTTTGTTTTTACTCCGTGAGCAGAGAAACGATGATCCAGAAGAATGATGCAATTTAATCGGGAGATTCAAGGGCTAAAGCCAAGTCTCCTGAGGTCCCACTCAGGGCCCTTCCACTAGACCTGGCTCTGTTGAGAGTGTCAGGCATCCCCACACACTTTCCTCTCTATCCCATAGCCAGCTCCCTTTACACCTGAATCATTAGGGCCTCAGCATCTCTGAGTGGGGAAGTCCAATCTAAGGCTGGAGGGGAGGGGGTTGCTGAGCTCAGAGGCAGAGATATCACAAGCAGCAGGGCCTGGGAGACTCACTCACAATGGAAAATAGTGAGGACTCAGACTCTCAAGAAGAAGTGTTTAGAGAGTGAGGATAAGGTTAAGTGACCCAATGGCAGTGCCCCATGTGGAAAAGAATCTCCAAATTGGAAGGGATTTTTGAGACCATCTACCTCCCCCGCCTTCTACCCACAATTTACAGATGAGGAAAGAGAGACCCAAGATTTCAGTGAGGACCCTATTCTTCCTGTCCAGTATTCCACCACTAATTGACACTGGGTCAATTTGGGGGGGGGGGTAGAGGAAAAGTGGTGGTGCATGGGTGTGGGACATGGTCACACTTGGTGATACTTCACATAGCGCATCACTGAGCTCTTGTGCTTTCTCTGTCTCATGATTCCTTACTGATAGGGCAGGCAGGTCACCAAAGCCCTGGAATGTGGTAGAAGGGCCTCAAAGTACAAAGGGGCGGGTGGCCTGTCCTGCTGAAGAGTAGTTTCAAGTAGAAGGACAAGTCTACAACCCAGGTGCACTGTGTGCCCCGTGCATCCCCTCTACCTTATTTGGCAGGACACGGAGAGGTTCCAGGCCCGCAGTCAGGAGCTGGAAAAGAAGCTAATTGCTAAGGAGCAGGAGCTGGAGAGACTCAACCAGAAGCAGAAAAGGGTATGTTTTGCCAGTGTCCTCAGAGTATCAGGATCTTTCTTCCACCCTTGTCTCTGGCTCTAGCTTGCTTTCCCTGCCATTCACTTATAAACTTTTAAATTTAATCCAAGAAGAACCATATGAATGTACAAGGTAGCATTAAAAGTCCCAGGGAAAGCCTTGCTGATCCCAGGTAAAGCCTTTACTTCTCCAATGCCAGGTGTTTAATTTGAAAATATCACTAAGAATTCCAAGAGGAAACTACAGACATTTTCATGTAGTCATGCCCAGGGGCCATGAGAATGCCAAAACTTGAACTTATTTGGAAAAGGGCTTCAGACAATTTGCTCCCCTCCAAGATGCCTATGGACATCTCTGGCTTGAAAAGGCTCTTCAAAGTTTAGTGTGTCCCTTCTCTGCCTGCCCACACATCTGGGCAAAGTTCTTTAGGCTCCATAGCCCCCATCACCCTGCAGGATGGATGCAGGCACAGACACTCCTCTCTGACTGCCTGACCCTCCAGGAGGCAGACTAGATGGTGTGCTATTCAGGACAGTGTCATTGTGGCTGGGGACACCTGGCTCACAGCCCCAGGAAGACTGATTGCTTAGGAGAGCCTCAGGCTCAGTGGCCTGCTTTCCAAAGTAAGGGCTTATGGGGGAGAGAGGCTAGGATGCCTCTGGCCTCCTGTCCATTTTGCCTGGTTCTGGAAGGAATCCAGCCCTGGAAAGACCCAGACAATTTGCTTCCCTGCAAATAGAGAGAGCTATTTTTAGCGATACATTAAAATAAGCTTAAAGCCACCCCTGCTAAGGCTGGGGACTGTGGCTGCTGCCCAGCTTTGAACTTGGGTTTCGTTCTTTCTGCAGCCAGGTGATGTTCACTCCAGGAACTGCTAGTCCCCTTGCCAGTCCCCGTCCACAGCAGCACCTTGCTTCTCCTACTCTTCTGCCTCCCCCACCACAACACATTACATCTTAGCAATTAGATTTATTCCTCAAATGAATGATTGCCACTCAATTTAATTACTGCATGCTTGCCTGATTACACAGGAGCCTTTTCAGTGTTGCACAAAATTCCTTGTTGTTGCTTCCTCCTCCCTTTACTGGCCACATTCATTAAAGGGGATTTATTGATATATTCGCCTTGGTTGGCCGATTCCTCTGGTGAGAGGGTTGGAAGTCCTGCAAAGCATCATTCCTAGCTGAGCGAAGCCAAAGTTATCAAAATACAGGGTTTTTATTTGCTTTAGGGACGTGAGAAAATGTGGGATCTATGTGACCAGTTTTAGTTATTCCCTAAGAGTTTCCTGGGTTTCTGGAAAGATTTTTTTTTGACAGAGATTAAAGGAACTGAACTTATTTAGCTGAGAGATAACAATGGAATAAACAGATTTACTCTCAGCGTTCATAATTGGGAAGGATGGTTTTATGAAGAGCGCCACTTAACTGTGTCAAGACCAAGGAAAAGAAATTAGCTTAGAGGACAAAGGGATTTAGGTTAGATCTCAAGACTATTCTGACTTTGGGATGAGAGACACAGATGGATTATGGAATTTCCTTTGCTAGTGGTCCTTTTGAACGGAGCAGTCCACGCCCCTTGCTGGCATGTTTAGTGGTCTTATGAAGACAGGGGAGAGAAGAGATGTGCTCCAAAAGCTCCTTTCTCAGTGCAGGAGTGCCTGTGTGTCAGTGAACAGCAGAAAATGCTGATTTAGGCTGGGGACCAAGGAGTGGGGGCAGTGATGGTCCCTGTCTGCCCACCCAGGAAAGCAAGGAGAGGCCTGGGCAGGTGGCTTGCTGATGATGGTGGCTTGTCACTTCCCTCTGCTTCCACGTTCCTTTCCAGCTGGAAGGCCAGTGCACAGCCCTGCATAACGACAAGCACGAGACCACGGCTGAGAATACCAAGCTAAAGCTTACTAACCAGGAGCTGGCACGGGAGCTGGAGCGGACGGCCCGGGAGCTCCAGGATGCTCAGCAGCAGCTGGAAATCCTCCAGCAAGAGGCCTGTAAACTGCAGCAGGAGAAGGAGCTGTAAGTACCATTTTGTACCCTCCTGCTGTTCTCCCACCCCCCTTGACTGCACGTTATCTCCCCTCTTAGAGACTCCATATCCTTGAGCTCTTTCTTCCCTGATTCTTCTCCTAACACCCTTCTAGAATTCAGAGACTGTGAAGCAGTCTGTGCCACGCATAACCTGGGATCCACAAGAAACAGGTAGCCCTCATCTCAGTAAACTGATTACGTGGCTAGAAAGACATGCTATTCCACCCATAAATGTGCAGCATTCTATGCAGATGTCAAGGGAATTGACAGACTTCTGAAGTCAGCAGGCAATTTGATAGGTGTGTGGCAAGTCTCTGAACCGGTCACTGTAGTTCTGCCCATTTTCTCCTAGCAGTGTTCTTCTGTGAGCCCAGTGGGCCCAGTGCAGGGAAGCCCACATCTCTCAGGTCTTGATTTGCCTGTGGACTCCTTTTGGTCTCTGACCATTGGCTCAGTTGGCTAAGCAAAGGCACACCTGAGTGGGAACCAAGGGATGGATCTTATATTAAGCTAAAGGGATTGCTACAAAATCAGTTCTTTATCTTGTCTTAGGCATGTTAGGTGTTCCAAAAAAAAAAAATGTATTTTGAGACCAGGGCAGAGATATCTCACTTGTTTATTTGCCCGCTCATTTATCAACACATTCATTGACTTTTTCATTTGACAGACATTTATTGCAAACTGTTCCATGCTAGGTATCACACAGAACCATTAACATACTCATTTATATTAATAATTTGACATCATCTCATTTGATCTTATAGCATCCTGATGTGGCTGGTACTATTATAAATTCTGATTTACAGATGAGGAAACCAAGGATCAGAGGTTTTCAGTATCAGCCTCAGGATGCTGAGTGTTAGACACACCCTGCTGACACCCCCAGAAAACAATGAGCCAGCCAGAAAATCTTTACACAGGAGTGGGACTGGCCATCATTCACTTACTTACGCCTGCATTCATTCTGCAAAAAGTCATTGTGTGTCTGGTCCTGAATGGTGCCAGTGAACACTGAAAGTCTTATTCCAGAGAAAAGTCCAGTAGTGTTTACTAGTGCCTAATGCTTTGCGTATGTTTACACCCCCTATTAAGTGAAAGCCCTCACTCTATTTGTCTGACCACTGCAAGATTCTGGTGCATAGGCCTAAATCAAATGTGCCTAAATCAATTTTGTTCAACTGTGGAATCCTGTACCATTTGGATAAGGATGCAAGGAAGGAAATGTGTTTGGACTGGAAATTTTACCCTAGTAAGAGATCTCCAATTTGAACAAATAGAACACTCCCAAGTAGTTGACTTAAAACAAAGCTAAGCCAGGTTGGTAATCCTATCGCCTAGGGAGGCTGAGGCAGGAGGATCTCAAGTTCAAGGACAGCCTCAGCAACTTAACAAGGTCCTAAGCAACTTAGGGAGACACTGTTTCAAAATAAAAAATAAAAAGGGCTGGGGATGCACCCCTGCTTTCAATCCCCAGTATAAAGAAAGTATAAACAAAACCACAGCCAAGTCCTTCCCTTCCAACTCTTGGATGGCCAGTTGAGGAAGGGACCATGTATTTCATTATAAACAAGCAAAATCAGTTCCTCCTCATTGAGAGCAGGTCAACAAGGCATAGGCATTTAACTTTACAAACAGAATTAAGGATTCAGGCTCTTAAAATTCAATCAAGTTCTCAAAGCAACCAGCATCTGAGGGCACAACAAGCATTAGAACAGCAAATGGAAATCAACACCCAGAGCTGCAGAGTTGCAGCTCAGCTCAGCGGGAGATCCAGAGCCTCCTGAAGTCTTATCTTAATTAACCAAGCCAGGCACAATCCCTGGAGGTCCAGAATTGAAAAGAGAGAGGGGAAGAGGGTAAGAAGGAAGAGAGATAAAAGATCCCACAACCTTCACAACTCCTTTTTCAAGAAATATTCTTGTTCAGCTAAAAGCTTTGCTGGGGCCCAGAGAGCAAGTCCCACCCAGGGAGCCCCAGGGAGAAGAGCAGGGAGAGCCCCAGCTTGTTCTCTGTAGAATGGAATTGCAGACCAGCACCACTGACAGGACCTCAGCGCTCGAACCCACCACCTTCGCTTTATGCAGGAAGAAGTTGAGGCTCAGAGAGGGTAGTGGCCACCCGGATTCCACCCAAAGCTAGCTACTGCCAGAAACCAAGGACAGAGCCTAGTTCTTCTGATGTTCCTGTGTCCCCCTGACAAAGTCTTGCTTCCTGATGCTGCTCCAGAGCAGCTGGGAGGGGAGAGGGTAGGGTTCAAGGTAAACAGACTTAGACACTTATCAGCAAGAATTCTGTACAAGCAAAATTAATTTTCCTGTTCTCCGAAGATGCTCAAGGTAGGAGAACTAGATTTTAAAATGAGATTCAGGAAAGAACTCTCAAGCTGAGAGATAATATAAAGATGAAGGTCAGCTGATAAGCACTTCTCTGTTTATTTTTTAATTAACTTTTATCTTGAGTGGGTAGTTTATGACAAGCTCAAAAGCATAAACACCCAAAGAGGTGTACACTGCCCATCCCCAGGACTAGGGTCTCCTGTCACCCAGAGGCCACCAGACATGGTGGGTCCTCTAGTGGGTCCTTCCAGAGTATGCTCCATTTGTGTAAACATGTGCATGTACACACACACACACACACACACTCACACATGTGTGTGTTTTTCTTTAGGAGATGGTAGCATACCAGGCATTCTGTGCTGCTTAATCTTGCATTTCTCACTTGACAATGTATTTTGTAAAGTGTTCCATATCTCTTCTCTTTCCTAAAAACCAAGCCAACAGCAGTTCCCTAAAGGGACCCATAAACCTCCTGCCAATGACTACAACAAAAAACAGCAGGTTCTTTCTCTTTCAGTTTGCATATTACCAAGGACTAGAATTTGTGAACCTCTAGCTTAGAGGTTAAAAATCAGTGAGCCAAATATCCACATGTGATTTTCTTCCCAGAGCCTTTCTTTTTATGTCAACACACAAAAAGTATCTGAATATGTGTGTGGGGGTGCATGCACTTTTATCTAAATAGACACGTGTGCACTGGACAAGGAGATAACACATATATTTGCACAAGTCTTTCCATCCAAATTCTTGGATGGCTGGTTGTGGAAGGACCATGCATTTCACTATAAACAAGCCAAATCATGTATGTCCTTCACATGTTTGTGCATCTCCATCCATCCACTGGTGCTGTAGACAGGGCTGGAGAAGGTCCAGAATGCATTGTGATTTAGGAATTGGCTTCTCAAACACTCAGTGAGAACCCAGGCCTTGGATCTCCAGTGGGTGATTTTTCCTCAGTAGGGGAAAAGCTGTCTGCTGTAGCTATCCCTGGAGAGAGTCAGGAGCCAGGGCTGGGGTGGGAGAACCATAGAGACAGGCACAGGCAATTGGCAGCTCCCAGGGCACAGAGGGAGGAACAGGCAGATGGGCACACTTCGTGCTAATCAGAGCAAAGTCCTAAACCAGAGTTCGGGGACCCGATTTGGATAATGAGAAATGCATTGTTTTCCCTTAAGTTGAAATTAAATATAGTTGGTAATAAAATGTGAGGAATTTGTGGCTCTGTAGGAGCCAGAGAAGTTTTACTGCTTAATTAGGATTGTCTGAGGTGAACTTGGAATTTGATTCAGTCTGTTATTGTCATAGAGTGACTTCATAATTATTCCATAAAGGAGAAAAAGAGAGAGAGAGAGAACATGATTCCTCTTAAGGAATCCGATTACCGGGTGCTTGGCAGGACAGTCCTGTGGACCCAGTCCTGTCACCCTCAGTAATGACATCAATAGGATGGCAGAGGGGTGACTGCCCTCTCAGCCCAGTGAACACAGGCCAGGCTGCCTGGACTGCTTGCCAAAAGTGACCCCTTCATCAGGTTGTAGGAGGCTCCTATGCTAACAACTGTTCTGTGCCCTGGGAGTGTGCACTCCAGGCCTTTGTGGTTAAATTGGAGAATGATTTGAAAAT